ATTAAAAATCAGCAATATCGCTTCTAAGTTTCAATAAGCATAGGCTGCCAAACTTTTAATTATATTGGTTTCTTGTGAAGTGAATAATTTTACAAATTTATGAAAAGATGGAGGGTGGAAGAAATAGTATTTTTGAAGATACAATTGACGAAATTCAGAATAAAATGGGCATACTAAAAAGGAAGTTGTATTCGTTTTCAATTTGATTTGTATCACAGACTTTACAAAGCCGCTGGTCTCTCTCAAGAGTTCCGCTGTCAGTTTCGATGCGCAGACTATGCGAAGAGCAACGAAAACGTGCTAAGGTTATTCTGTGGGAGTTTATAGTGACCGAAGTAAGATATTTTTCCCGCTGTAGTTCTGTTTTAAATTCGCGATATGTCATGAGTTTCTCAAACATACATATGTCAATTAGCCAGTTATGCTGCAAGTAACATTTAAATCTAACAGTAAATGTTTCCATAAACGTGCTTGCATTGTTAACTTCCTGACTGTACCAAAAAATTGCATATTACAAATAAACAACAAATTCTTTATATCAGTGATCCATGTATGCTTATTTCTAACTCCAGACTCTTCTATACTGTAAAGCATATCATAACATTTACGGGGATATCTATTATGGGGCATGTTAATTAATTTTGCCCAATATTTTGCCCAGTGTTTCGCGGTATACAGAAAAATGGGATACCTCCCACACTCACCTAATAAACAACTGTTTGGGGATTTTTGTGAGACACCAAGGTAATACCTACAAGCAAGAAACTGGATTCGTTCGAGGCAATCATACTGTCGAAACCCCCAAATTACAGCACCATATGTTAAAATTGGCAAAATCTTGGAGTCAAAAAGTTAAAAAAAATACATCATAATTAAGGGGACCTGTTTTGTCACTTATTTTCATAATGGCAAACATGGCCTTTTTGGCTTGTTGTGCTAAAACCTTTGTTGCTGTCGACCATAGAAGTCTACAAGAAAATACAACCCCAAGATATTTATAGTAGCTGAGGAAACTGCCTCGATTTCTTCACCTTTTTAAAACCATTTTTCATTCTTAGACAAGTGACCACCAGCTTTAAAAAACACAACTTTTGTTTTTCCCTATTCACTTTCATTTTCCACCTGTCACGGTAACTCCTTAATATTTTAAGAGATCTTTGCAACCCGATCACCGTATCTGAAAACATTGCTACATCATCTGCAAATAATAAGCAGAAAAATTCGACAGGTTTTACCAGAGAATAGGTTATTTAGTCGTCTAAATGACGACCAAAAACAGATTTGTATCAACGCATATCAAATTTGACTTAATTTGATATATATGTTGGCGTTTTTTGTCCCGGCAAACATCCTTAAACCTTTTACTCAATAAGTGGTATTCATGTAAATGAGTTGGGTTATTGGTATTACGAAATTTGCGTAACAATCTGTATTTCTCTTTTTTAATTTGTTTACAATCATTGTCAAACCAAAATGGTTGTTCTGTATATGTGTTTGAAATTTTCTTTTTCATACCACATTTATCAACTACAGATCGAATCAAGTCTTCAATTATATTAACAGATACATATGTATCGAGATTTACATTTTCAGAAATCGGGTTTAACCTATTGTGTATTCCCGCGAAATATAATTTGCTCATGAATGAGCGAGAACGTGTAGGCAGCCATACATACTTAGTTAGTTGACCCTTTTGCATACAATTTGCATTAATATAAAATTGTTTATGTACAGGCCCTTGTATACTAAATACAAGTGGGAAATGATCAGACTCTGTACGGAAATAAGGAAATCAGCGATATCAGTAAATAAAGGTGTCGACACAAAAACAACCAGGCTTGCCCCGTTACTTGAGATACATGTAAAGTCACCAACACCTGCATCGCCGCCTACTCTACTATTCAACATATGCATTAATCTGCATATACACACTACTGAAGTGATTACTAAGCTGCATATGAAAATTATTAAGCCGATTAATGATCTGCATATGAACAACGAGTATCGATTACTAATCTACATAGAAACAAATGACCAGGTACAAAGCTACAGTATTAAACACACGTTCGGTACATTGCGTCACGCAACCTGGCGAGGTATAATACAGTCTATCACCTATTCAAGTACAAGAACAGACTTTCCGATGATTGCATCAGACGAAAAAAGGTTATAAGCTTGCATGTTATATGCATTCTTGTATGCAGCAGCGTGGCGCAGCGGAAGCGTGCTGGGCCCATAACCCAGAGGTCCCTGGATCGAAACCAGGCGCTGCTATATTTTTTTAAAATCTAAACTGTCGGTATTTCAGTTTTCAACACAATTACTTAGCATACTTGTATCGTATAATATCCGTCACAAATTACAATAATCTTAATAGCAGTTTTGCCACTTTTTAAATGTACGCATCTAGTACATTATTAGTACTATACTATTAGTATTATCTTGAAAGTTACGATAACAACATTTCCGTTAATCCCAATAATTCACAGTGACTTGTGGTACAGGAGTTAAAAAATGAAGGTCCATGTGCGTAGGTTGTCTCTGTGGCGCAATCGGTTAGCGCGTTCGGCTGTTAACCGAAAGGTTGGTGGTTCGAGCCCACCCAGGGACGATCGTAATTGTTTTACTACTTTGATAAATTCGTTGACGACTATCGAAATAAATTACAGCAATGTGCCATTCTATTCTATTCCACGTAATTCAAATGAATGACAGTCATAATATATCATCTACCTGCGATCGTTCTAACACTTGGCGCTATTGGCCGCTCCATTTTAACGTTATTTTTCGGAGGAATTTCGCCCTCAGTTCCTTGACTAAAGGCCACTTAAGAATATGGCAGTGGCATATCATTACCCCAGTGTAATAATGGGTCGTGGAATTGAGTGACATAACTCTCTTTACCTTTGACTACCAAGTACTTTTATGCGCATCTCATAGCCATGCTGTTCCAACGACATCGACCTTTGGCCTCGTGACATTCATAAGATTCATAACGGCCTCTTGGTCGATTAAAGTCGAAACGTATAGCACGACAATCCGACGAAAACGCGAAATAAACGAACACACTACTTCGCCCATTGCTGATATCTGTGAAAAAAGTATATATATTTGCATAAACACAAAAGACGCAATTTAGTGCACTGTCTAGCATATCACGTGACAGCGAAGATAGTTTCCAAATGTCTTTATTTTTATAGTTATAACAACCAAATTCGTTTCCCGTAGTAGGGATCGTAGGTACTGTCGCACTGTACCAACGTCGTGGGTTGCAGTATAAATTATGTAATCTAATAAGCGCGAATCAAAACTGTCGTGGTTACTGATCTGCTTATGAAAACAACTTAGGTCATTACAATCTGCACGTGGAAACAACTAATGACTACTAATCAGCATATTAAGAAATTGTAATGGTTATTAATCTGCGTACACAAACTACTGAAGTGATTACTAAGCTGCATATGAAAACTTGAATTATTAAGCCGATTAATGATCTGCATATGAACAACGAGTATCGATTACTAATCTACATAGAAACAAATGACCAGGTACAGAGTTACAGTAATAAATACACGTTCGGGACAATGCGTCACACAACCTGACGAGGTATAATACCGTCTATCAGCTATTCAAGTACAAGAACAGTCTTTCCGATGATTGCATCAGACGAGAAAAGGATATAAACTTGCATGTAATAAATATGTTATGCAGCAGCGTGGGTCAGCGGAAGCGTGCTGGCCCCATAACTCAGAGGTCCCTGGATCGAAACCAGGCGCTGCTAAAAATTTCTTAAATCTAAATATTTTTTCGGTATTTCAGTTTTCAACACAATTGCATAGCATATCGTATAATATTCGCAAGAAATTATAATAATCTTAATATCAGTTTTGCTGCTTTTTAAATGTATGCGTCCAGTATTATTAGTATTATTTGGAAAGTTGCGATAACAATATTTCCGTAAATACCAATAATACACAGTGACTTGTGGTGCAGAAGTTAAGAAAATGAAAGGACTTTAGGGCAGTGGTTGTATGCGTGGCGCAATCGGTAAGCGCGTTTGGCTGTTAACAGAAAGTTTGGTAGTTCGAGCCCACCCTGGGACGATCTTAAATGAATTACTACTTGATTTACTAATTTGTTGACGACTTATCCAAATACATTACAATAACGTGCCACGTAATACAAATGAATAGCACCTATAATTTGGGAAATTCGTCGTTTTATTGCGCTCAGATCTTTGACTAACTGCCACTCAAAAAATGTGGCGTATCTTTACCCCAATGTAATAATGGGTCGTAGAATTGAGTGACATAACTCTCTTCACATGGGGCTACCAAGTATTTTTAAGCGCATCTCATAGCCGTGTTGTTTCAACGACATCGACCGTTGGCCTCGTGATATTCAAAGGATCCCTAACGGCCTCTTGGCCGATTAATGTCGCGACGAATAGGACGGCAATTCGATGAAAACGCGAAATAAATGAACACTCACTATTATTTGCATAAACACAAAAGGCGCAATTTGTGTTGCGTGATTTGTGATAAAATTATGGACATATTGCTGTGGTATTGGTATGGCATATCGAAACCCAATCGTTGACATTCCCTTATACTGCAAATGGGGCGGCACGTAATTTTACAAGGGGGGGGGGGTGAGATCTGCTCACCAACCCTCGCGCCGATGGCGCGTCCTTACTAGGGGTATCCGGGGGCATGCCCCCTTAAAATGTTGAAATATAGACCCTCTGAAATGTCCTACATTTTGAGAGGCGAATTTTGCTGCCACAAGGGGTTTCAGCTTGATTGTTTTTCGAGGGGGCGCCTCCCCCGTGCCACCGCCACTGTGCTGGGTGCCCGACTCGATGTGATGAAAGAAAGACTATAAGATTATAAATACTCGTGTCTGTGTTGCTGTGTTGGGGGGGGGGGCAATCTGCATTTATGAAAGTGACGTTTTATCTACTGAGCTTTTTTTACTCAAAATCATCGACGACAATTAACATGTTTCGATTTATTGTGCAAAAAACTATATGCAAGCAATTCCTACATGTCCGAGTACAAATTTGATTATCTAGCGTAAATGATATTTCAGGTTATTTTACCTTTAGCAACTAGCAAAACAATTGTTAAAAACAAGTGTTCGAATAATGATATAGTGAATGCATATTTAAGAAATATATCAATAAACTAACTCTCATAGATAGGCTTTAACGTGGCATGGCACACCTGGTTGCTCTAACAAAAGAAGAAGACTTATTGGTAATTATAATCATTTATATCTACATTTGACAAATAACTTGTAATGATTGTTTTCCTGTTTGATATATTTGACTTTGAAGAAATCAAGCAACGACTATTATATTTCGATATTAAAATTCGAATACAATATGTTATGGTAATGTTATACATTTCTCGTTCGTCTTACAGATTATATAAACCAGGAAAATACATGAATTGGAAACAAAACACAATGGCAAGGCAGAGACATACGTGGAGACGTACATGTAGCAAGGATACACCTGTAAAAGAAGGAAAGAATACATAAACAACATCCATCACAACACGCGGATTATCTGACTCGTTTGGTAATGAAATATTATTTGGTAAAGCTCACCGTTATTATGATCCTCTGCATATTCACCCAATCTAGCTGCATATTTGATGACATGTGCGATGTAAGTTTGTTCATGTACGCCTTGGAATAAATGTGAATATGGTCCATCGGCATGAAGGGATACATCTTCACCGCCGTGGGATTCACTGTCCGTTGGCACCAAGCTTTGCTGAATGTAATTAGGTGATTCTGTGTAAAAAAGAAGAAACATCAAACACCACTGTTACTGATACAATACCATATATTATTTTAGCAAATCATTATGCCTATGTCCAGTCATTTGCTTTCTATTTGTTACTAATAATTATAACTTGGTAGAATATGTGCTAATTATGTTTGAGGATCTTATAATGCGATGTACTTCTGTGATGCTAAGCTCGTTTTTACGTCACTATACCTGTATCTTGTAATCGTATGTCTGGTCTTGTTCCGTTGATTCTGTATGACGCTGCTACTGCTACACCACTCGGTCCATTGGCATACGTTATTGTAGTGTACGGTAACTCGTCATATGCTTCTAGAACATCACTGGTTACACCTATGAATGGATGACGTGAGGCGTTCAGTATCACGTGGTATTTCTGTTTGAGTATATAATACAATCTACTTTCTTGTTCGTAGCTAGTCGTGCAATAATCATTGAGATTGTTTTTCAAATACCAATTACCTCATATGAAAATCGAGTTCGCACTTTTCAATGGCCAAAGGTACTGATCAAAATGATAATACTAGTATTCAGTGTTGATGCAAATAATGTTGAACAAATCTTGTACAATACCAAAACAATTTAAGCCAAGTTAATATTAAGCATATGAAATATGATGATGTGGTCGTGCGAAACCATGGAAACAAAATTGCTCATTCCTGGTAAATACCTCTATTCATTTACTACTCACCCAAAATAGGATTTCCTCTGTATGGATATCCATTCACCGTGTTCACGTGGCCATGATCAGCTGTTACTATGACCAGTGTATCCTCAGTGCTCACCATATCAAGAGCTTTTTCTACTGCATCATCAAAGGCTACAGTATCTGTGATGGCTCCATATGCCCAGTTACCATGATGGGCGGTGTCAATTAGTCCTCCTGTAGACAACGGGGAAGTAATACAATCTGAAACGGTCTATGGTATTAAAAAATATTTACATGAAACCAAATCATGAAATACTAACCTTCTACGAAAAGAAAATAGCCTCTGTCGTTCTTCTGTAAAATGGTTATGGCTTTTTCAACCATTTCAACAATACTTGGTTCACCAGCTGTGTCGTTATGTCTCTTACATTCAAACTTCATCTCATCATGACCGAACAGACCTGTAAAACATTATACAAAAGCATGTCATACTTATTGTGTTAAATAATATGCGGCTAATCAATCAGTTGCTCATTTACAAATCATTTCCAGATTAATCGATTAACCAAGTGCTATCACAGGTAACTCACCCAATAAATACTCAATATTGTCTGTATCTACATTATCAAATTGTTCTTGATTCCACACGTATTGCGCATTTATTCCGTCTGGAATACTATCAACCCATTCATCTATCAAGTTACGACCATCAAGCCGTTCCCCTCTCAATTCGGGGTCTTCTGGATCTGTTTCAGAGATGGGCATCATGGTTTTTCTGCCTCCAGCTAGAACAACCTTTTTATAGAAAGCACATGGTGCGATTTTACAATAGTGATGACAAAACCAAATTATATAACTAGTAGAGATGTTAATGATCTAAAATGTGTCTGTAGTATTGACAGTAGCTTGTGTGATCTACCTGAAAATCCAATGAATTCTCGAGGAACTGGGCTGCGATATCCTTGCAACCATCGACACCAACGGATTCCCAGTACCGCTCTGGCGAATGAGCATACACAGAGGCTGGTGATGCATTGGTTATTGATTTTGTACTAATTATTCCAGCTGATTTTCCTGAAAAGAAACATTACAGATTTGTATTATATTTAATTATCATTATTATTATTATTATTTAATTATTATTAGGGGACGGGCTGAATGCACCATGTGGTTACCTACATGCCACATTGCTTGGTTTGCTGTCACAATGTTTTTAGACGATGTTTGTTGGTGAATATAATTGTATATCTGATATAAATGATATACTACCACATACTAACCTTCCTTTACTGCTAAATCAAATACACTTTCCAACTTGGCTTTTTCAGTCACTGAACTGCAGTTGGCTCTTTGTACAGAGGAATCTACACCAATTAGTCCCCTTTTTGTTTTAACTCCCGATAACATAGCAGTTGCTGTACCGGCCGAGTCAGGTACTTGGTAATCTGTGTTGTATGTCTATTGTGACAAAAATAGGAGCACAGGTTGCATTGGTCTGTTGTCATATTGTTGAAGAATTCCATCTATAGAACGTGCCAGACTAAATGTATGTCCAGAAGCATCACACAGTAAACGTGTTTTAATGGTTTTATATTTGGTATATTTTTTTGTTTTTACGTTTATCATGTTTTAAGAAAACAACCCGTAATATAATTAGAATATTGACATCATTCTTTCTAACATATGATGATTAAACGTTTGATTTTGTATTGTCATTTACCTTAATTAATGCAGCACGCGGCAAACCTTCAAACCCCAAAACATATTCTTCACCAGTTTGACCTGCCAATTGACCTTTGTATATTCTCGCAGACGTCACTGTTGGTATCCCCATACCATCTCCAAGAAATACAATCACGTTTTTAGCAATGTTGGTATTTTGTTTCAATTCAAGATATTTCTCAAGTTCGTCCTTGCCTTGCTGGATCCATTCTTCTGCAGCTGGTGATGAAACGTTAGTGATGCTAGATGTAAACTCGCTATTTTACATGTTTTCATATTTTTCGTGAAATTGTCAACGGTGTTTGACTTAATTCTAATGGTAAGGTGTTCCACAGATGAGGGACTGCTCTTGAGAACACAGATATGTAATTTTGGAGTGTGCAACAAACATTTAGCTGAGGAACGGAGACTATGAGGACCGGATTTGAGATGTATGGATTCAGATAAATAATTTAATGAAATTAATTCTATATTGAATTGGAAGCCAGTGATGACCTCCAAGGATTGGTTGATATGTCACTTTTCGTCGTACACGTGGTAGCTCTTTCTGCTGCATTCTGGGCATATTGAAGTGATTCACCATACAAAGGTACATTACCGTAGTCAATGTATGTTAAATTAAGTGCATCGAACAAGTTGTTGACAAGTGCGTTTGTTTAGAAAATGGCGTCCGATTGTACGAAGATAGAAGGAGATTGATTTTGTAGTTGCAGATACTTTTTTAAAAGGTGAAATGCTGATCAAAGATGACCCCGATGTTGCTTGCCGTCTCCGATGGATGGTACATGAGCCTATATTGATCTCCGGTTCTTACATTTGTTAATATGTCAACATTGTAAGTCTTAAATAATGAAAAATGCCGGATATATACGAATGTTGAATATGTGATTGAACAGTTGCACCACTGTTGTGTAGCTACACTATGTACATTGTGTACTCCCATGGAGCCTCAATGACTAAAATTACAAGAGCATATTTACATAACAGTTCAACGGATGTCAATTTTATTATTTTATCATTTATTATATTTATTATTAGGGTGTTTTACGCGAGATATCGAGATGTGTAGTGAGAACGATGCCAATGCCTAGCTTTTATACTAACTTATATAAACACCAACACACGGGATCTAACATCTGCAGCGTTCAGCTTTACATCAAGTACTAACCATTGATAGCATGTATGAAATCTACCAGTACTGATAAACACATGCATGGTGTTGTTTTGAATCAATCGGTAAAGGAGCTTCCGAAAACCAAGTAGGCAATGAAGAACATCGTACTCCGCTGTTGATATCGTAACTATGTTTAGCAGTTCTTTACAAGATGATGAGATCTTAAACGTGAAATATTCATCAAACGTGAACAAAAAGACAGTTACTTACACTGACAGCAAACACCTCTCACCATAAATCCAATTATGACGGACAACACTAGGTGGTACACAATCGACGCCGCCATCGTTTTCCTAATTCTATCGCAATCACCGTACAAAATCAGCGTATCTTCTTATCGGGTGATGGTTGCAAACATTGTTGGTGATGTTTAGGTCATGGCAGCCAGGTGACCCAAGCAGAGCGTGCTGTTGGGGACATGCCATCCACGTGATAACAATTCAGTTGTGTTGTTAAGTTCACGTTAGTCATATGTGACGTCAATCTGAGTGTGAGGTTCCAGCGAACGTGGTTAGTGTGGTGTGGGTGAATGTAGTACTGATGTTACAAAGTGTGATAGTCGATAATTAACATAAAGTGTAACTGATCAAGAATAATAAAGGATATTTAACAGCATAGCAATGCCGAAATGACGGAATTTTAGCATACCACAGTTTATTTTGACCATGCAGTCAGAGGGGTGTGAGGACATTTGGGATTAAAAAATATTCTGTCTGAAACCTCATTACAAACCTGCATGCACTCTAATTGCAGGGGAGCAATTCAATTGTATTAGCATCCGATCTCGTAATTCTATACTAGTTAATGCATTTGGTGTGCCGTTGTTTCGAAACCCAGGGACCAGTTGTCCAAATGTGCAAATTCAAAAGTTGTCACAAATGCAGTAGTCTGAGATTCTGAGTTACATGCATTCAAAATAGGATAAACCACAGTTCCTCTATCCCATAGGGACTGTGGATAAACTAAGAAAAACTGCGCACATTAAAAAATTAACACGTATTGACAAACAATACAGCATACCGTGTCAATAAGCATATTGTTCAAAAATACTTTGATACTGGCCCAAATTGGAGAAACATTGCATGCATGTTTCTTGCAATACTGACACGTAAATACACATATCAAGGGTTAATCAATTGACGAATAATACTGTTCTACATTATTCAGTGTTTACAAACAAACTGTATTTCAAGTGCATCTGATAAGATAAATATACAATTGAATATTCACTCTATCCTGGCCGCCCCAAATACAACACTATAAAAGATACACCAGTTCCTTTTTAAACATAATTTGCGTGAACGTTTTGTTTTATAGGACCACACATTGTAGTGTTATACTTAAAAGTTTCGGCTACAAATTCATCTATGTTCAGTAACTATATAGTTTTGTGATTAAGTAAACAATTGATATAGTTGATAGTTTGAACGTCGGGAATGATCTTGAACATGGTATCACATACATCAGACCCATATATGGCATGATGAAAAAGAGTCATTGTATTAATCTGGATTAAGATGACTTTGCAATGACACCCGCGCTTACACCTTAAAGTGAAATAAAAATACAAATCTGTCTATTCAACATAGGTATTTCAGTAACAACTTTGTAAATTCAAAATGCAAATTTCCGACGTCTTGAGGCTTAGATTCTCTCTTCTTATTTACGTTAGCTGTTATGAGATGATATTATTTAATATATTATTAGGGTATCATAAAAGGGAAAGAGAGTTAAAATTGATTTATGATTCAAAAATTCTCTTAAACAAACAGTGTTTATATGCACTACCGTATTCGCTTAGCTTTCAGGTAATACATAGGTTGTTGTAGTAGTATGCTTAGTAACTTTAAGGGAATGTCTGAGTCATAGCCTCGTTTTTCCCTTATTGCAAACTTAAGTCTGGCTGACCACATCAATGATTTCTATTATCACCTTGCAATTGATTGACGTAGCAATTAAATAATCAACACAAACTATGCATTGGTTTAAAGATGGTTTTATTTTCTATACTTGAGTTAGGCTGTTTTAGCACAAAACTGCAACAACTAGAATTATTTACTACGGGGGGGGGGGAGTTTTTTTTTCGACAGCTTGTATTGGTTTAGTAAATAATAACAATTGTTACCATTGTCGTGTTGTCCGCGTTGTCCCATTATCTTACGTACACACCACCAATACGTAAATATGGCGGCCATTGGATATTGCGAACAATGACACTGACTAGTTGATAGATAATATTTCGGTTGACCATATATTTCTTTCTCGAGCAATAATAGTTAACAATTTTTTTTTATTGTATTTTGATCGTTGTGTAAATTTTAGTCTTTCATGTGGATGGAAATTGATTGATAAATATGAAATATATAGCGTGAAAAGATCCGTTTTCGTTTCCGTTTCCGTTGTGCCAATGAAGACAAGTAAATACCAAGCCATGTTACATTTTCGTTGGTTCATGATAATAGTACGCCTGTATTACAATGGGATTAAAGAATACATCCTACGAACTTTCTTTTTGACTGCTGATCTGCACTGGCTCGGAAGATGAATTCTGATTGGCTAAAAAAACAAAAAACTTGTGGCGTTGAATGCACGTTCATTCTCAGTAATGTTATGCAAATTAGAAATTCAAACTAGCTAATCATTTACAACCTTCCGAGCCAGTGCAGATTAGCCCCTTTTTGAACTTGTGTTTCGACCAATAATTAACTGCCACCTGGGAACGATAATTTATGCTATAGATATACTACACTGTATGGTTCTGAAGTTGCACATTCAAACAATATCGTGTTTGACCAGGGTCACAGTTAGTTCACAGGGTGCATCAACATTCTGTCGTCTGTGATTCTAACCTCAAAATATTGTACTGTGGGCATTTCTTGGTTATAGTTGCACAAACTTGCATTTGTCATTTCTGAAAATTTGTTACTAGATTTTTGTGTGGAATATATTCTAGTTGGCTGCCCTAAATATTTATTTGCCAGAGATGCGAGTCATTTGGGTAAATATGTGTTCGTGACGGTCAATGCTGATATCAGATCTACAAGGTAACTATGTTGAAGTTCAAACATTGTAATATGTCACTTTGTTCTTTGCGTGTTAGACATGCCATTATCGTTTAGTCTTGAATGTGTCTTGAATATGCGCCAAATTCCGGAACAGAGGTTATCAAATTCGTGATCCTACACTGTCAGTGTTTTACACCCACTTAGTAGTCTGTGTGTGTTCAATACAATTTTATCAGTGCTTGTATACAATAATATACAGTTATTGGCCTTGCCTGAGAATCGTCATCCAGAGGCGGCGGCACGAAAATTTACCCTGGAAGGGCAAGATCTGTTCACCAACCTCGCGCCATATGCTCCCCCTCAAATATTTTGAAATCTAGACTCTCTAAAACGCTATTTCCTGCTATTTCAGCTTGATTTTAAAGGGGCAACGCCCCAAACTTTTTTTTGATAAGGCGACCGCTACCTCTGCCCCTCTGTGCCACCGCCACTGTCATCAAGTGGATGCTAATATAAGAAGCCGGAGTCGAGGCCACTAACAGACACATAGGGACTATAATTCTTGATAATAACTGTTTTATTGTTCCGTAAACGAACAATGGGACATAGGCCAGGTACAATTGTCAAGTCAAAACACAAACTTCGCATTTTAAAATTATTATACCTCATGACCACGACATCCAATCAGATTCGCGTATTGCAGGTAGACATATTCGTGTATCGACCTGCTGCCATGTCCGTATGTCTATCTCCATCCGGGTTCCTTATTCCTGAATTCACCTGACAGATTTACGCCAATAACTTGTTAAGGAAACACGATACGCGGCAATATTCATGAACTGCTTCGTTTGCTAGGTTTGCGTTCACTTATTGGAGTGTAGCGATTTTGCGTGACATTTAGTCGCGCTGAACTGTGTCATTCAAAAAATTTTAGACAGTTTTGATAAATGTCTTGACGAATTGTCATCCAAAAAATAAAAAAAAAAGTATTATTTTGGAGAATTTAAAAATTAATCAATGAGAATACCCATACCACTGCTGAATACACTGATCGCCTAAAAACAGCCATAGCTTGGTCCAGTCAGATAACACCTACACTAGAGTGGATGAATATTCAAATACTCTGGGTCGCAGGGGAAAAAAAACGTTATCAAAATCAAGGATACGCACATTCTAAAACATTGGCTAGGAAATTGTGTAATTGCATTAGTTTGTAGTTTGAAAAAAAATGACCAAATTACTCAAAGCCGCTACAAAGCAATACAACATGAGCAAAACTTTAAAATTAATTAACGAGGTTCTAAATAAAAGCACACATTTACTCATCTTCAAGTAAATTAAAAGGTGGTGATAAATCTGATGATTACTAATCAAATAAATTTGAAATTGCAGAAATGTTGAATAACTTTTTCACAAACATTGGCCCTGATCTTGCGTCTAAAATTTTATCGTCCAATTTTAGCAAATTTTTAAATGGCACAGATCCGTCAATTCATTATAAAGGGTATAACCCAAAATACAAAACGCACGACTACACGTGTCATAATTTGGTCTAAGACCGGATATCGCTAACGATTTCTAAAAAATTACTAAAATGTCGGACACCTCGAAAACTCTTTGGAAATATTGCCATAGTTAATGACGATGACTGTGCAGAATAAAATACGTGTTTACTTGGCCTAGTTGGATTTGTGATGCCGACTGAGTGTACGTATTCAGTTGACACTATATAGACATATGGAGATTGAGTCTATCAACATGTTAGACAATACCTGTATGGGAACTTTCTAGCTACACTCTAATATGTCATTGTTAAATTATTTCTTTTATAAGTACTCCAACACATTGCTTGAATTTCCAAAATCTCAAGATAAAGTGCCATATTGTATTATCTAGTGATTTACTAACAATGGCATTAGTTACGTGTATGTATTACACACTGTACAAGATATATATATTATCTATATATATGTTACTATGTAGTGTATATTCATTCTATGTTTGGATTAATATATCTCATCCCCCTAGCTGGATAATAATAAATTTATACCGTACAAACAGCGCACGTCAACTCGTAACCATTAACATACGGGCCACATGGAAGACTACCAGCATCGCATCGTCCTTCTACGGGGTATAACAAGGCTCCGTTGAGACTGTGGTGTGTTCCTGTACGGCCGTCGGCTTGGTGATCAACACATATGTATTCAGTACGTTTATGCCCGTGGTGCTCTGACATCAAATACCCATAATATTCTCTGGTCCATTCGGTTGAAGGACACTGATTACGAGCAGGGATCATCAAGACGGTACCACGAGAACGGACTCTACATACAGCACACACTGGATCATGGTCTGCCACTTGTGCCAACGGAGGGAATCCTTGCGTCTCGTACTCAGCTCCATATATCAGTCCCTTGCTCTGTGTTCCACTCACTGGAGAATCATATATAGGGTTTAATGGAAGACATTGATAATTGCTCCCACTACCAGTATGCTCAAACCAACTATTTCCAATTATACCTAACCAGTGATAAGAGAAACATGATTAATAATATTGTGTTAAAGCTGCCATAAGGATGGCTTTTATTTTTGTGTTATTTGTGTGTTATTTAATTAAGTTTGTACATTGTATGTTGTTGAGCCATGAACTAAAAAGATGTTCTTTTCTTGCAGTGCACGGGTAAGTGTTCTCGTACGTTCACTTAGTGTTTCATTTGGTAGTACAATAAAAATCCTTGCACATGCGTAGCAAGTAGCGTTTGTTAAATTCATCAGACAATTGTTGCTATATGTTTAGCGAAAGCTACAATTAATCACAATCGAATCAAAAATAACATGCAGTATTAAACAACAATAGTAAAATAAGTATGTTTTCATCCATATTGAATCACTATTGAATACGACAAATGCGTTGGTCTAGTTCGCGGAGAAAAACTGTTGATACATTGAGTAAAGGTACCACCCGTGGGCACGTGACCAATTGTTCTGATCGTTGGCTTATTTCTGTATACATTTTGCTCTTACGCTTACTCTAAACCGACATATACTCGTATGCAGAGTGTAATTTCTACAATTGTATTCATATGCTAAGTGTAATTGTTGTACATAAATTATAAAACAGTAGTGTCTTAGCTACATAACTAATATATTTTGTAAACGGCTATTGTAAATCAGACTTTAGCTTTCGTCAAGGTGCAACGTCCGGGGAAACAATGTTCTTCCTCAACTATTGAAAAAGTTGAAATTACCAAAGCAAGTGGAGCGCGTGTGACGTTTCCTGGTAGTTAGTTTGTTTTTCTTCTCAGTTTTAAAAAGTTCTCTATGTATTTTACTATTTGTATTATTGTTTTCTCATCTTTATTATTTAAAAAAATATTGGCTAAATGTGGAGGTGATCAAGTTTTTTCTTTCCCCTGCGTAAAGATCCTGTGCTAGCATATACTATGTGTTATTACATCGTACACGTGTCCCATAACATTTTTGTATAGCAGGATAATAAGCCAATAACATAGCACTGAAACAGTTGTATAAGCCATAGTTGGCTTTCATGTGATGAAAAACTGCAATGTGCAGTGGCGGTCACTGTCATCTCATCGGTCCTTTTGCTCTTATTGCGTTTTGTGTTTATCCTCAAATGACACATCGATGTGAAAAACTCGTCGGCGGAGAAATGTGATATTCAATCATACAATGCGCATTCATTCATTATTTAAATTAAGCAATAATATCGCAATTAAACATTTTAGACAACTATTTAGATATTAAAGACATGTCAAGTGTCACGTGGCCTTATATTCAGCAACTTATACCCAATTAGCGGAATTAGTCCCAGTTTGTTACAAGTCGGTGGTAATATAATAGCGCCCCCTTTGACGTATATAACAATTCTCACACTCGTGTTGAAATACCAAATGAGTGGAAATCGACGAAAATAATGTTTAAATCTGGAATTAAAACTGATGCAATCAATTATCGTCTAATTCATATCATACCGTTAGTTGCTGGAGACGAAATTCACAACTGCATTACCAGATCTTCATTTCAGCCCCATTCCATTAAAACTAGATGCAGTCAAAGTTGTAGCTACACCCGGCACACTAACGGAATTCAACACCATCAATTATGAAGACTATTGCCACTTCATTTAAAATCAGTATAACAAATATATGTGTAGTCTCCCATCCAGTCTTATTAAATTATATATTAGGTGTACATGTTTTACAAGTACTATCTTTTGTGTATGTTTTCTGAAAAGTGTTGTAATGTATTTGTTGTTGTTGTTTTCTCTCGAACACTTTGTAAATAATTACTAGTTACTTATGGGTCTAACGAGAATAAAATGAGCTGAGCTTTCAGCCAATAGTACGCATAACAGCGACTAACCTTCATAGACAAGCTCGGAGGAATCAGAACAAGTGTTCTTGCCCCACCTCACATACACTACTCCAGTGGTTCTGTTGGCCCATCGTTCGTTTGCTATTGTCACGCTATCACTTTCCTCCACAGAAGGTCTCAGCCCACCGGCGTCACCAGATTCTCCCTTTGGACCAGTGGGACCAACTGAAATAAAAACAAATAAATAAAATGCCATACAATACGTTTCCTCCAGTTCTCGAATAAAAATTATTCATACGAAAACAAAAATGGTTCACCTGGTCCCGCCTTTCCTGGTTGTCCCTCAGCTCCGGGCTGCCCTGGCTCACCTGGTGGACCCGGGAGCCCATCTCCACCTATATCACCACGTGGGCCTGGGAGCCCATCGCGCCCTGCTGGTCCCTGGACGCCCATTAGGCCAGGAATTCCTGGCATCCCAGCTGGCCCTGGTATAGCGATATAATTTACAGAACATGCACCTGAAAACATCAAATTTCCATGAAAGTCATTATGTGAAAAATGAAAAATAAAAGTGCCACAGTCGTCGCAACAAATTTTAGGACAATCCGTGTCACAAGTGTACTAGCCTACGTCATCAAATGCGTTGATGGAATCTATTAAGTACTTTGTTTAAACAATACATTCACTTGGCTTCGATTTCAAGCCTCTCATCCAACGTACACGTAACTTGCGATATGTAAACGACGGAGTGTAAACAGTGCCGTTGAGGGCAGCATGTACCTCTGGGAGGCAACGAAAAGCGAGATACCAGCTCCATATTTTTGCGTGATATTTTCGGGCAATACCGCTCGAAGAAACTGTGATTAACAATTTCTAATGCTAGCACTTTTATATTTTAAAACAGATTGCTTGGCAAGATGTATACATATACTTGCGGTCGAGTACAGCTCCATGGTGCCTACAACTCTATTTGCCTTATCATAGACGATAACGTAAAAAAGAGTGAAATGCAGTTTACACATTCGACCAACACGTCGTGTATCAAGAAGTTGAAAGCATTTAAAAAACAATTATTCGCCACAATACGAAAAGATCGCTAAAAAGGAAGCTGAATCTACCACACTGAATGGACTGGGAACATTGGGAACATAGTTAATCAAGCTCTCAATTCACACCATCGGTTTTTACAGGAATTACACTCACAAATCAAAAGCTTGGTTATGCTGGTGTCATATTCAAACATTTATTATAGTGAAAAGCTGTTTTGAAGATAAGAAGAATCGGATATGTGACCATGATCTACAGTCTAATTGGGGTCATTTGAGAGCTGGCGGAATTTGTTTATTTTAAAAAAATAATATGTTATCCACCTATGCCTGATACCAATATCACATTTCTCTTTTTTGAGTAGGGTTTTATCTTTCTCTACGATACACATTTGTTTCAGATTACTCCAGTGTATAATCATTCGTGTCTCTTTGTTTAGTTTTCTTATTTTAAAAGAAAAAATGGACCATTCATTAATATACCAAAGGAATTTGAACTTGCGTGGAACAAGGGCAACCATAATAGAAAATGTCTTAAAATATTATTGTTGTTTTTTCTAGCCCGTAGAGTCGCAGGTCAATATAAAAAATATATGGATATACAGACATCACATAATCACACCTAAATGTGCATATATATATACTTCGCGGCATATTATTAAGTACGGTATATTCAATGCATACCTCGTCTTTCGTCGTCCTGCTCATATGCATCACGCTTGGCAATAAGTTTCCCGGACGAAGATCTTGTTGTTTTTCCATCACCGATTTCTATATAAACTTCCTGTAGTCAAAACAAAATAGTGTTTACGGAAACATGATATTACCCTCTTGAACCATCGCTTGGCGTGAAACGTTTTGCATCACATGTCATGTCACCTCACCAGTATTCTAGTTTTTAAGACAGACTGATAAATAAAAAAACGCTGTGATTTATTTCCACTGAGCCTGAAGCAGGCCTGACTTACCAGATTATGTAGTCTTGTCCGTAGTTCGGCGATTCCATCAAGTAGAAGTTTGAGTTGGGCATGCTGCTCTTCTTGTTGTACACGGAAGTTGTGTAGTTGAACGTACTGGTACACAGTTACACCGACACACGTAACAAGTATAAGCAGTGAAACAGAGATTAACACACTCATGAAACAGATATCACGGTTACGTGTTTTACCTTCTCGTTTGCGTACGTAGTATAACATAATTCTTGCTGGCAGAGAATGGCGTCACAATAAATCACAAAAGGGGAGATGTCAATGATATGGGGACACTCCCTCTATGGGACAAAAATGTGTTTCCACCATATTGGATTTGCAAAGGATTATGGGTTGAAAATTGAACCTCAGAGGGCGTTTTGGTTTTCCATACAGCCCTTCGCAAATATCAACTGTGAACCTCTCCCGTTTTTAAGCAACGTCGGTACAGATATAGATAGACAACTTGGATCCAAAAACTTTAACTTTTAATCTTTAAAATAATCTTTTCAATGAAATCCGACAATACAAGCACTAAACTTAAACAAAAAATAACGACGTTGCTTGAAAACAGGGGAGGTTCACAGTCAGATGACAAACGTCATGTAAGTGGTTGATATGTGAACAACACATACACATGTACAGAGCACAGTCCCTCAACACAAGGGATTGTGTACAGAGTCGTAGATTCAGTACAGTTTCAGACTATCTTAAAAAAATCTTTAATTTTGCTTCATCCTTGCATGGCACAGATAAGTTGGCTACAACTGCTCCCTGTGCATTCCTGACGTAAAAAACCTTAAAGCGGGGAGTCATCACCTGCGCATGCGTCAGATGGCCATAGCGTGTCATTGTTTACAAGCAAGCGCCTGCCCATGAGCCTTTGCGTTTTTAGCGTGTGTTATTATTGTCGCTTAGGACTCAACTCCCGCGCGTGCGCAGGTGACGACCCTCCCGCTTTCATAAATAAAAGAATTTTTCTAGGCTAAACCAAATTATAAAACTATATCTATTTTATATTGTGTATATAACACGTAGTATTTTTCGGTACTTGACTTGTATGTTACATGCCCCACAGCTGAGTTGGACAACTCTGTATAAATATATTAAATGAATAATAAAAAATAAATAGGAAAACGAAGATAAAAGTAGGCACCCTGTGATCGCGAATTTAATTTGACTAGTTTGCTGTATAGCTCGATTTATAGGACATGATAGCTAATATTGCAGTTATAAATCTTCGTATTATTATCAAAATAAAATCAGTACACAAAAATATAATACTAGCTATAGTAGTTTAATTTAATATCAACGATCACGTTAAATATTTAAAACAAACAAAACACACAGACAATAAACGTGCAATTAAAAAATAAAATAAAATTAATTATTAAAAATAAATCTTAAATAAAGACCCGTCAGTAAACATGGTTTACACGTATGATTAAAACCACTGTGGGCATTTTAATAACTACCTCTTATTTCCAAGATATTTAGAACAATACAAGTAATGATTATAGAAAGCATACATTAATAGATTGACTGGTGGATAAATTAATTGACAGGATATCTCAATAATTGATTGTCATTAATTAAACTCGTTAATAAATACATTCAATTCTACTAGAAAGTGGCCACGCTCTGTGGTTTGTAATCAATAAAATATCATAAATCGAAAGCGGTGTTTAAAAATTCTAACAGACCAATCAAACGAGTGTATGAAGGTGTTTATGCTTGGGTGACTGGAGCTTACAATGTGGGTAACGGCCCCGTAATGCGTTCACTCACGTAGAAAATCCGCTACCCGTAAATTCTACATGGCAAAACTTGCCCCCTACAACCAATGACAACGAGCTTCTATGATCCTCTATCTCTCTGTTAAGCTGTATTCAAAGTACAAATAGACACATTCACAGTAACAAAGATTTTTCAATTTGTTTATCAGGATTTTCACTTGGTTTGGGTCATTAGTTAAAGTGAATCGAGACACCAGTTCATAGAATTTCACTCAATTTTGGTGTTGTTGAACTTGAAGTATGGCTGTCTTGGTTCGCCTCAGATGTTCGAGTTCCAGTTCTATAGAAAATGGTACAAGCCACACCAAAAAAAGCTTTTACATCAAAAACCAGACAGATCGTTTTAAAATGACACTTTTTGCGTTTTCTTCTGCCGAGGGACCAACAGTGACGTAAATGTGTGAATTGCTGACCAGCAAACAACAGAAATCTGCACAGAGGTTATTGAAATCAACACAAATAAGTATCCTGGATTGAAAGCATTGTATATTTAACATACTGCAAGTTTACGTGGAAAAAATGCCGATTTGACTCCCTGAATCACAAAAAAAATGAAGAAAGAAATGTTTGTAAAGTTACGTTGAAGCAAATCAAGGAGTATACAAAATTACTGAATGTCAACATCCATGATCATGAACAAATAACACAAAATTATTCTTTGACAATCGGAAGCCTGAGAATTGAAATTACAACAAACAATGTTGCAATAGGTTGGACAATTATCGTGTATGCATACATGTCAGAAAATATTACAGGATTCAAATATGGGACGCATTCACAACTGTCAAATGTCAACAAAATGTGATCACATTATATTTGCGTGGATATATTTTTCATCATTTCACTTAACTTTTAATGACTTAATCATTTGTTTTATTTGCTGCATAAAAATCCGCCCAAATCCCGTGAAAATTTCAAATCTCGCAGTTTTGAACGTCCACTCACACGACACACGACAAGGCCTCACGCTGTATGATGCCGATGTATTCTAGAAGTAAAACGATCTCTAATTGGTTGAGTAATTGACTCTGAATTGAGGTGCTCGTGTGCAATAGATTTTTGCACGGGGGAAAACGCCGAGTATGGTTGAATTTCGTTGGCGGATGGCTTAAAATTAACTTCGTAATTGTACCATGGAAATATTGAAATATTTCTCTAATAAAGCACAGCAGTCGTCGAGACGCGTTGTGCTCGACGTGAGTCCCATGCAACGTGCATAACGTGTGTAAAATATTTATATCGGCGATTGTGACACTATACTAAAACGAAAAGTAATTAGCATAATAATTAAAACACACATGTAATTAGCATAATAATTGAAATGACCATGAAACATTACACTGATGTACCTGATATGTCCAAGAACTGTGAATTGTTAATTGTGAGTTCAAATATTATTAATAACTACATTATTTAGCCAATTTGTAATTCCCTGTCTATTCCTCTTCATCCACGCTATGTTGGTCTCAACTTTGAGTTTGGCTTCATAGAAACCTTGAGCAGCATAACTCGGCATGTCAGGATATCGTGCTGCGAATCCTAGCAACTGGAAAAGAAAATATAATGCTTTTAGATGGTTGGTTATATTAAATGTTCTTACGAAGCGTCATGGGCAGCATAATTTAAACGTTGTTCTTTCAGGGTGCTGACTGGCGGTCACTATAATCATTGAAGGTATAAGAACATGTCATTTTACTTTCCATGGTATAACAGATAACTAAGGTAGTTTATTTACCGTCATTGTGACGTAACAGTGATCGAAAAGAGTTAATTCACAAGGGACTTCTTGTTATTCCTTGCTCACGAATCAAAATAGCTTTTCGGAAAAATCTTGACTAATTCTCAAGTAATCATTATAAATTTGGCTTATTCATGGTTGTAAATTGCCGAAAATGTTGTTGGTTGTTGGTCTACTAAAAGTGACATATGCAGATTTGCTGGATCTCTCGTGAGATTTGCTGGATCTCTCGTGAGAGATGTCGTCTATACGCAGATTAGAGCCATTGTGAGCATTTGTTCTAGATCCATTCACAGTCCCTCTATAATGAATCAGAACTGGGGTTTAAATAGCGGTGATCGTCGCACGGCGCGTTCGAATTTCGTGTTAAAAACATTATTACACAATTGTCACCGTAACGCCTTAAGTTACAGCGTGCCGTAATTTTAGGGGGTATTTTCATCCTACTGCATTAGGAAATGTGAATTCCAAATATGGAATGATTACGCACGTAAGCGTCTTCTAATAATAAAAACAAACATGGCTGCCACGAGAGTTTGACCGGACTCCACACAAAGATGTTCGCCGAATTAGTTCTAAACATTTTGGATTTCGGCATTCCCATGGTGTATCCTTGGAGGGAAAAGATGTATAATAATAAGGTTATTACGAGGATACCTCAAAGTATGCACTCAGACAGTACGCCGCGCATCGACCTCCGCTGCGCGTCGGTCGATACTCCAGCTGTACTGTCTTCGTGCATACTTTGAGGCATCCTCATAATCGACCAGGACGCGATGATATGACCACCGTCCATCATAACTGCCGACCAGCACAATGCGTGTACACAATATAAACCGTCAGATGTGTACTGGTATGTTCAACAGCACACCGCCACTGGCAAAAGGGGGAGATTTGGTTTAAACTGATATCCATGGATACATAACATTTCTCTAATGAAAATGATGAAATACAGCGTTAATGGATTACGTAACTTGTATGTGTTTTGTAAATATATATACACCTGTTATAAAACATACCTGCTGTAAATCATAGTCTGTGTTCATCCAGGGAGAAAATGTCCAAACAACATTATACGCTGACTCGCCAAGACTAGAAGACAAGAAACAAGTTAAACAATACTCACTATAGTTGCAAACAATAGTTTGTAAATACTCTAATTAAATAAAAGAGATGCGAAAATATACATCGTGAATTTGACAATACAATTCGAAAACAGTGTTTATTTTTTTATCATAGCATGGGCCACAGTCCTGAGAATGACTGTGTTTGAGCGGAAAAGAATATTTTAGTGTAAAAACTACATAAAAATAACTTCGCTTGACTTTCTCATCTCATTTCAATCATTGTTTGTATCTTATTTTACATGTAGAACGTAATTCACGCACTCACGTTGAATTCAAAGCGTCAAAGTTATTCATGACATAGTGCCATGCAACAGAGTATCCCATTGCTGATTTCGATCTCACGTCTTCTATCACAGTATGTGCTTGGCTAGGATCATTGGTAAATTCTTCAATATACCTAAAATACCAATTGTAATTAAGAAGATGTTTCGTAAGGTAGTTCAAATGTTAGTGACATGCACTTTCTATTGGAATATATATCGTATTCTCATTTGAACTTGCAGCATAGTTAACAGTGTAATGAGTAATACATATGTAGTGCCCCCAGGCGACGAAGCTCTCCCTTGACGTAAATAGTTGCAATCAGAGAAACTATAATTACCTTCCTAGTATTTCATTTCTTGAACAACCCATAGCAGATCGTAAACTTTCACGTTCCTCCGGATTCGTCAGACTTTGATTATGAGCAAACTGCCATTCTTTATCAGATCCAAACTTTATAGCAATACAATATATTGCAGGCCGTACACTGGTTTCAATCCTGTCAATCATATCATTAAAACACAATTCAGTGTTGTAATAGATTTATAAACAAAATTGGATCATGGTTTGCCTGACACCATTCCTAAAAATCGCACCCGTCTGTGACTTAACTGAACGACACGAATGCCATTCAAGGCATTGATACTGTTTTGATCTGTATCTGTTCATTATTGAATATTATGTTTCTGAGAAAGTTTACTATATTCTAGACGACAAACAACAATATAACCAACCACAATGGCCGATTTGAACGACATTGCCTTTACACACATACGTCATTATGACGTCACTGGAGTGCGCGACTAATATGAATAGTGTAATGATAATTACTGACACTGTTTTCTATCTAAAGTGACTTACGGATTGTTCTCAGGGTCAGCCATCCATTCTGCGAACAGTTTTGTTGCATTTTTAACACAATCAATGTTCCCCCACAAACACGCAATCTTTATTGCTCTTGGACGTAGGCGACTGTATAAAAGAACCAACACATTAAAAATAAAAACGTTCATATCATTTGATGTTTGTAAATATGGGTAGTATTTAGAAATGAAATATGAGTATGGGTACGACCTCATTTGTGTCTATTGAATAATGAAGACGGCGTATTACAACCTGTGGCCAATCGACTCAGAATATTCAAGATTAAATATCGCATAAAACACTCTTTACCCCTTTGAGCATTCGATCCTCAGTACTACACACATCAATACATGCACAATTTACTCCATTATTAAGCGTTTCCGGTAAATTAGATTACAAATATGCAGCTGTTATCTGTTAAAATATGTAGAGTTCATTGTATACAAACTGAATTAACCCTTTAAAACTTATGATGCCAACCTCGTGTACTACATTGATTAGACCTGAGATTGGTTCACATACACTTGCGTGGTGTGGCGTAGTGTGATGTTATGAATGGTATACACTGGTATAATAACTTGGAATACTTGCCTGTTCAAAGTATCCTTATCACTGAAATCCCAGCCAAGTGATTCGTAAATGGGCGTTATTTGTTTGCTCCAGTAATACTACAGGACATAGATATAAAATGGTTTATGTATACTGTACAGTTGCAAACCGAATAGTTCTACTTGCTTTTATACCTTAATTAAACTTGGCTTTTATCACGGAGCAGAATTTCAAAAGGAGGACATTTCATTCATCCAGCTTAATAAAATATGGAACAGTAACACAATGAAGAGAGCAACTAAACACAAATTATAAAATCATTAGGTCTGAAACATGGAAGATGTTCATGTGGCGAAGCCAGAGTTGCAGCAGCTGATAGGACAGAGTGAAGACGTTTGGTGTAGGTACAATGTGCCACTAGACATAGAGGATAGATAGATAGATTTGTCACGGAAACCTACTAAGAATATAATCGAATGTGCCATACCCGGAGAGAACTAAATTCAGTACTTCTCATGAATGAGCGGTGTATAAAGTTCAGGTTTTCAACCATCAGTGCCCAGGTGGGATACTCTGTTTCTCTGTACATGTATTCACTGAGTCGATGACAGTTCACGTTATCGGTGTAGAATGCTTGTGATATCTTGAAACAGTCATCCAACAGAGCGGTCCTTGTCTGGGCAGGAAACACCTGTCAGGTAAAGAAGATATATATGTTCTACAAAGCCCTGTGACTTTGATTGTGCTTGTTCATAATGTTTTCTTGCCACTAGTATAATACTATCAAATGTATCACAGAAACGATGGAATCATATCAAGCACTTATCTACCTTAAAGTCTACATCGTCTTTCAGAGCTTCTGCCAGTCGTTTCCAGTTTTCATCATCATAGTTAACACGATAGAATCCCAATTGATTAATATTTACTAGTACCCAGTCTAGAGATCCAGCATCGCTCAAATCAATCTCTCCTGTGGACAGTGTGACAGTTATAGTGATACATAATGAAACCATCGAGGGAGAGGATGCGATACCCCCTATCGCCACGCCTGTTTACACTCTTAGGGGGAGGGGCAGAGGTACTCCGGTTGAACAAGGGGGTGCCGCGCCTAAGCTCCCTGGTGGCAGAAAACGCGATGATCTGCCAGGTAACGTTGATGCGGTTGATACCGATGACCTGTATACCCAGGTATGGCGTCTTCAACAGCAATTACGTGAACGCGAGGAGGTTTGGGATATGCGTCTAAAGTTAGAGCGCGCTATACGAAAGGAGGCTGACACTCATAAACTGTCACGCACCCATACGCCATGTGATGAACCAGTCGATTATGAAATTCCTACCACCCGTGATAAGCTACGACCAAGAGATCATAATCCTCACACCGTTTTACAGGCACCTCGTTTGCCTACCTTTTCGGGAGATGCCGATCGAAAAGGTGACGTTGACTTCTCATCGTGGATTTACGAAGTGAAACTGCTTCGTGGTGATCCTACCGTTAGCGACGATTACACACTGCGAACAGCGATACGCTCGCTGCGTGGAACCACAGCTAAGTTAATCAATACGTGATACTGTGATACGTGATACTGTGATGCTGGATGAGCTTATTGATAAGTTCACGGCAACGTTTGGTGAGATTGAGAATGGTTCTGCTCTGCTGAAGTCGTTCTATGCGTGTACACAGCACGAAGACGAGACTGTGTCCCAGTACGCGATCCCGTTGGAGATAGCTTTAGGTCGCGTTCGTGAACAGGGGGCATCGAAGACTCCCTGGTAGACAAGACGCTTCGATCGGTGTTCTGGGGTTCTCTCAGAGATGAACGTGTAGAAGCCCGAACACAACATGAGGTTAAAAATTGCACGACTTTCGCCGAGCTCAGCCAGGTATGTCGTCGGGATGAACGAGAAGTCGCGGAACGCGATAGTAGGCATGGCGTGACTAAGAAAGCACATGCACAGGCTACACATTGCGGCGATAAAGAGGACGACTCGGCTGCGCTCATAGATACTATGAAGGGTGCACTCCTTGTGCTGACGAAACAGATTGCCCAGATCCACAGCGACGTGACTCGGCGTCTGGACGACCTGGAGGCAAATAGGGCCCAAGACCTAGAACGGGGGAGTGCCACCAACGGGCATACACTACTCATAGCAAATACGAACGCAATTGCGAAGCCGATGTCTGAGGACACTAGACCGCCACCTATGTGCTATAATTGCCGTGGCGTTGGCCACCTGTCTAAGGACTGTTGTTCACCATGTTCCCATTGTGGGGACGAGGCACATTCATCGTACAAGTGCCCTAACCGACCCAAAACAAAGAACTACAAAAGGAAGGGTAAGGCAAACAAAGCACTTATTGACCGACGTAACGGACAGCTATATCATGCTGCGGCCACAGTCAATGGTGTGCGCTGCAATGCGATGATTGATTCCGGATCCCAAGTTACCATAATTGCATCATCATTCTATCACAAACACCTTTCCAACGTACCTTACTCATCTCTCGACCAATCACTTGATACTAGGTGTCACCGATGATTACCTCCAATCCGAGAGGATCATAGAGGTAGACGTATCATTTGAACGTAAAATGTTTCACCTTGTCTGTTGACTGTTGGTCTTGGATGCCCGTGGCGAGGCATGCCTATATATTCAAACGCCAGATGCGATATGGAATTGCATGACCCGACACAGCGAGATCTCCATGGGACATTACGTTGTAGGCTTACGTTCCAGGG